CTTTTTGATATCTTTTCGCTGCATTCAGTTCTTTCAAAGGCCTCTCTTTGGTCTCCCCAAAAAACCCTTCCCATGCATCTATCTCTACATATTCCTGCCGTTGCTCGACCTCCTGTCTATCTGTTGTGTCTGTGGCATGCACCCCTCTACCTAAGCCCCAACTACTCTGCAAAACGCCACTCCTCGATATATGCCACACACACTCCTGCCCCATGCCCCATCTCCCATCTCCCATGCCCCAATCCAATCAGACAGCCCAGCGGCGGCATCGTTAGCAACGCAGCAACAGCAGCGCGACGTTCGAGTCGAGTCCGAGAGGTCCTGCCTGCCTGCCTGCCTGCCTGCCTGCCTGCCTGCGCCTGCATTTCAAAGTTCGTTTTGTGGATTTTGGTACGAAACTGCAACCCCCCTCGTTTGGTCAGCCTTCAGCTCCATCTCTAACTCCAGGCGGGACTACCTCCCTGCCCACCCCCTTTGGAGTGGTAAGCCCTTTTTCATTGCCTCTCTGCTCTGCTGTGTGGTGTTCTCTGCTCTGCTGCTGCTGCTGCTGATGCCGTGTGGCCCTCGGGGGCGCTACGTTTTATTGCGCTAGGCATTTTTGCATATTTGAGGCATCATCGCTCATCGCTTTTGTGTGTAAGCCAACTTTTAGACATCGGTGGAAGGTGGACAAAACAACAACAGCAGCGACCCCGCGCTCCATGCCTCATGCCACAGCAGAAGAACAAGCAGTAGCAGCAGCAGCACTGGCAGCAAAGGGGTTGTGCCGCTTTCTCTGCATTTCTCTAAGCTGCAACCGTGGAGGTTTGCTATCCGTTGTCCGTTGGCCGTTGTCCGCTGCTCTGTTGCACTGTTCTATTTGCCGTTTTAATATGCAACATTTTTTGCCGCTGATCCTCCCCTTTGGGTCGTAGTCGTACTCGTACCACACCCCCACACCACCCAATCCCACTCCCAAGCCCTCCTTCTTTTGGCGCTTCCTCAGCTGCTGCTGCTGCTGCCGCTGCCGCTGCTGCTGCTGCCACACACTTGTGTACGTTTGGTCACCTCCAATGCAACACACTCGCAAACACACATCGCTTTTGCTTATTTTGCACTGCAAAAAATTAAGTTACATTTTTATTCTCTCAATATTTCATGGATACTTTCTGTATTTTTAGCAATAAAATGAAGGAAAAGGAGAGGGAAATCCTTTTGATTAGAGTGGCCAATCGCTTAGGGGGATTTTTTTGTTTTGTTTCATAGTCAAAGTTCCCTTGATTTGTTGCCAGTGTTTGCCAGCGAGCCACGGGGTCAGACAGCGACAGTCGACCATCTCATCTGCCACTGTCCACTGAATCCCCCCTGCCACTGCATGCCACTCCGTGCCACTCGTTCCGCGCCTCTGCAACTTTGTCTGTTGTTTGGTTCAAATGTTGTCATCTTTTCCCCCACACGCCGCACGCCACACGCCACACACACACACGCACTCCGATTGCCTCTTGTCGCATAGGCTTTCGTCGCTTTTTTGGCCAGCATCATCATGGGTCGCATCCACGAGCCCCGCTCCTGTGTGTGTCCATTGCCATGTCCTTTCACGTCCGCGTCATCGTTTTGCTCGTCAGCGTCGTCGTCGTCGTCGTCGTCGTCACCAGTTAAATACATAAATTCTCGTATAAACGCGTTCTGCAGCCATACGGCCGCCTTGCCCCTCTCTCTCGAGGGGGGTGGGTTGGGTTGGGTTGGGTTGGGTGTCGTGTCGTGTCGTGGGGGCATGTGGCATACAACCAACAACTTGGAAAATGCGTGCTTGCTGCAGTTTCGGTGTTTGATCCAAATTCTGTTTGCTATTTGCTGCAATTCATTTGTTGCAAGCTGAAAAGCAGAGAGGTGGCACGGCACGGCACGGCACGGCACAGTGGGGCAGGCATGCAGCACGGGCCAGCAAGAAGCATCCCATTCACTTATGGGGCAACTTTTATTCAAGCAAATAAATCTCCCTATTCACAGTTTTCAATTAAAATTTGAAGCAGCTTTGGAACAACTAAAAATAAAAAGCCTTACCAAAAAACGCATCTAAAGCGTTTCTTTATCTCAGTATCTTTCGAATCTGTATCTCAGAACTGCCAACTGTGCGCTTGACTTAATAAATTCAGCAAAAGTAAGCAAAGTCTCTCTTCGTCTTCGTCTCCGTCTCACCCTTCTCTCTCTAGCTCTCTATCTTTGTAGCTTCGCATCAAAAGTTGCCACAGGCAATTATCGTTGAATGTCGCGCGTTGATCGGAAAATACATTCTGATCATATTGTTGCCCCCTCTGGCCCACAGCACCGCCTTGCCAGCACTCTACCTCCATGGCCAACGCTGTGGGGCCCCGCCACGGCGCGCGCTTTGCTGTTTATTATTATAATGTATCCCCGAGATGCCGCCATTTGCCAGTCACGAAAAAAATTATGCATAATTTATGACTGGCCGAAGCTTCAGAGCAGCAGCAGCCAGCTAGCCTTGCCTCTCTCTTTCCTGCCTTTGCCTACCATACCTCACTCTCTCTCTCTCTCTCTCTTTCCCTCTGCCTTTGTGTGTGTATCTTCATCTCTTTCTGGCATATATTTTTGCTGGATTTTTCGTATTTCTTTTTATTTTTTATGCATATTATAAATGCGCAAGGCAAAAACAATAATCACAAAAACTACAAATGCAATTCAAACACGAACACACAAACACACACATATAGATACACACACACACACATTCCTGCATAGAGAATCGCGAATATCTGACCAGTCTCAGCCATCAGCCGGCCCCCCTCCTACCCACACAATAAACTTCCCCTTTCTGGCAAGAGCGAGAAAAAAAAAAGAAGCAGCAAAAATAGTTGTTGGCCAAAAACTGCAGGTGCAGCAGCAGCAGCAGGCAGGCAGGCAGCTGAAAAGAGAAGAAAACGTAGTGGCGGCGGCGGCGGCTCTTCTCTTAAGAGCAAAAGAGAGCAAACGAACCGAAACGAAAGACTGCGGCGAATTCGTGTCGTCGCTCGTCTCTCATCTTTTTCGCCTAAGCATTTGTTTACAATAAACGACGACGACGCAGAAGTTGACGTTGACGTCGACTGCGCTGCGGCTGCTTCTGCTGCTGCTGAGAGCGAGAGCCGAAGCTGAAACTGAAGATTGGAGGAGCATGCAAGAGGAGCATGGAGAGAGGGGCGGGCGGGAGTTGTGTGATTGAGTGGGTGGCAGCAAACGGAACTAATTAATGGAGAATCTTTTACGCCAGAGAATCTTTTTCTCAAGCGGAGAGTAACGCAAGAGAGAGAGAGTCACCAGAGATGGCATGAAAGATCATTTTTGCAATGAATAACTGAATGATCCTTCATTTAATTCATGAATATTCCTTAAAATATTCACAGATATTCCCCTAAAATTTCCTTCACTTTCCCACGTTCAAAAGTTCCTCCTGTAATCCCTGCCCCTTCTACGCACCTTCCTACCAGCACCTTCCACAACAACAACAACAAAAAGTATTAGGGCTAAGCGCCGCCATGCCACATTGCTCTCTGCATTTTGGGGGCAACTTCCGTTTCCTCACGCTCACACACACACACACAGCAGAGAGAAGAGACAGGGGCACACATGGGGCACGGCATACAACACGCATCCAACGCGTTTAATGTGCCTGTGCCTGTGCCCCTCTTGCAACTTGCATCTCGCTGTTGTGGCTGTATGGGTGCCTCTGCTGCCGCTGCCGCTACCGCTGCCGCTGCTGTTGCTCCTCATTTTTGGGGGTTGCACGAAGGCCGAGGACGAGTTCGAGTTCGAGTCCGAGTCGATGGCGCCGCCACCGAGTCGTTTATCCGAGCAAAGGAATGCGAATGCGAATGCGATTGCGACTGCGACTGCGAATGCATGCAACGGAACGGCGGGGGCCAGCCACATATCCTATCCATCCATCGGTTTGGAGCCGGCGTTTTTTGGCGCCTCGGACTGCTGCTGCTGCTGCTGGGACACTGCTGCTCTCCGCATCATATTTTCGTGTCGTTGCTGCTGCTGCTGCTGCCTACGTCGCTGCCGGACGCCACTGGCTTTTCCTTTGCCTTTGCACGACGACAGCCAGCAGGCAGAGCGTAGCGTAGCGGTGGAGACGACTCTCGCGAACTTTGTCGCTGGGCTGGTTGGGCTGGTTGGGCTGGCTGGCTGCCTCAGCGAATTCGCATTTGCAACGCGAGTCGGCGGCAGCGGCACAACAACTACAACTACTCTGACAGAGGCAGAGTTGTGGCAGTGGCAGTGTGGCAGCAACAGCAACAGACAGAGGCACCAAACAGCCGCGTTTCAGGCACACGTCTCCCCATCATATCATCATCATCGTCGTCGTCGTCTCCCCATCGTCGTGGACGTTGTCGTCGTCGTCGTCGGAGTCGCCGTCGTGAACGTTTCGTAGCCGTCGTGTGTGCCGTGCCGCATGCCTCTGTGTGTTGCCGCCTCGCTTTTGCCTCTGCCTCTGCCTCTGTGTGTGTTTAAGTTTGTTTTGAGTTTTTCCGTATCGAAATGTGCAAAACGATTTCAGTCTAATTCAGACGCTCGTGCTGAGAAGACTTTTGGCCCTGTTTGTTGGCCAAAACACACCACACACACATACACAGAAAATCCACTATCCACGCTGCGCCGCCACACGGGGCAGGCAACAACCGGCATTTTTCTGTACGAACCAAACACACAGAGAACAGAACATAGAGACAGAACAGAACAGTAGTTGGTGTGTGGCACGAAGAGCGAGTGGCACCGAAAACTAATTGCCAAAAAGCGGGGCTAGCCCAGCATATGGGCTCTTAACGTTTTACGTAGTGCGCGTAACGTAACGTAACGTAACGTAACACATACACATAGAGAAAGATACACAGAGACTTTAATACAAGATAGATAGGGAGATACATTTACATTGCCTTGCCTTGGCTTGCTGCCAAACCCCCCACCAATCCGCAAAAGAGACTCTAGTGCAATGTGATTGATAAACGCGCGGTTAGATCGATAATCGATAATCGATAACTATCGATAGATCGATAAACACACAAAATGGCCTCACTGGAGGTGAAGCTGGAAACGCTGGAAACGGAGCGGGGCAACACTGAAAATGAAACGCAATCGAACGCCGAGCAGGCACAATCCGCCCAAAGGCAGCGAAGCGGTGGCACAATATCCCCCCACCACCACCACCAGGGTGGCGGCGGCAGCAATCGAAGCTCCCCCACAACGCTGCACACAGATGATCGCAGAGGATCGGAGGAGAGAGGAGCAGCCGGAGCAGGAGCAGCAGCAGCAGCCACAGCAGCAGCAGAGGAAACAGCTGGAGGCGGAGGATCATCATCACCTGTGGCCGGTTCACCCTCAGCCTCGGCCTCGCCCTCGTCCACGCCCTCGTCGCAGCAGTTCTGCCTGAGGTGGAACAACTACCAATCGAATCTGACGACGATCTTCGATCAGCTGCTGCAAAACGAATGCTTTGTGGACGTGACGCTCGCCTGCGATGGCCGCTCAATGAAGGCCCACAAAATGGTGCTGTCCGCCTGTTCGCCGTACTTCCAGACACTCCTGGCGGAGACGCCCTGCCAGCATCCGATCGTCATTATGCGCGACGTCTCCTGGGGCGATCTCAAGGCCATTGTGGAGTTCATGTATCGGGGCGAGATCAATGTCAGCCAGGATCAGATTGGTCCGCTGCTGCGGATCGCCGAAATGCTAAAGGTACGCGGCCTGGCGGATGTCACCCACATGGAGGCAGCCACAGCAGCAGCGGCAGCAGCCGCTTCCGAGGCACGCGACTCGTCCCCCAAGGAGACAACCCACCGCGACACAGTGGAACAGAGGGAGGCAGAGGAGCTGCTGGCCTTCATGCAACCGGAGAAGAAGCTGCGCGGCGACTGGGACTATCATCCCTCGTCCTCGGGCCAGTCTAGTGCCGTCTCCACGGTGGGGGGCAATCTCGAGCTGCGTCTCTCCCCGCTGGAGCGGCAGCAGGGGAGGAATGTCCGGAAGCGACGTTGGCCATCGGCCGACACGATCTTCAATCCGCCCGCCAGTCCGCTGAGCAGCCTGATCGCCGCCGAGCGGTTGGAACTCGAGCAGAAGGAGAGGGAGCGCCAGAGGGACTGCTCCCTGATGACGCCACCGCCCAAGCCGCAGTTGCAGGGAGCTGGCGGCGGCGTGGGAGGGGGCACACCGAGACGCCTAACTCCCGCCTTGGAGTCGGCCATCCATGGCATGGATATGCCCTCGCCGGCGGCCACTCCTGGCCCGCGATCATCGCGTGCATTGGCCCCCAGCCCGCAGCATCACTCGCAACAGCAGCACCAGCACCAACAGCAGCAGCAGCAGCATCCGTTGCATCTGCCACCTGTGCCTCCGCATCACTCGCACTCCCACTCGCAGCACCTCGGCCTGTCGCCCGTCTCATCGCAGCATGGCGGAGGACACTCCGCGGGCGCCTCGCCAGCTGGCGATTCCCGCTATCCGCTGGGACCCACCGCCGCTGCAATGGCCGCTGCCATGGAATTGAGTGGCATGCCACAGCATGGAGTTGGTCCGCCTGCAGAGCCACGCCTACCGCCGCCACCGCCCCATCATCATGGTGGCGGATCACAGGCAGGAGGAGGAGGATCGGGTGGCGGCCCTTCGGGATCTTCGCTGGCCGATGACATGGAAATCAAACCGGGAATAGCGGAAATGATACGCGAAGAAGAGAGGGTAAGTCCAATCGATCGATCGATCGATCGATCATTCTTTTTGCCTATTCACGGATCTTCCATTCCGTTTCCGTTTCCGCCTCTCTTAATCTTCCCATAGATCTTTCATTCTCTTAATCTTCTCACCTTCCGCGCGCTCTTTACGTTTCCCGTTTCTATCATTTCATTCACAAAATTCGAAAAGAGAGCGAATTCGCCTCGATCCATCTGCTGCCTACGCGCTGCTGCTGCGCTGCCACAGCGTTGCTTCTCCCTCTCTCTGATATTCGCTCTTTCTCTCTCTCTCTCTCTCTCTCTCTCTCGTTTTGTTACCCTCACTCACACTCTCTCTTCCTCTCTCTCTCTCTCTCGATCGTTTGTTTTGATTCACGTTTCGCGCGCCTTTCGGTTCGGATTTTTATTTCCGAATTCGAATACGAATACGAAAAATTTCTGCCGGCGGCATTTTGCTGCCTCTTCTGTGACGTCACTGCACTGCTGGCTGCTGCCGTTGGAGCCGCCTCGCCTCGTGTGGAATGTGCTGCTGCTGTGGTTGTTGTTGTTGTGGGGCCTCCTCTTTATCGCGGGCCTTCTTATGATTGACAGCATTCACGTGCTTCACGTCGCTTCATTGTCGTCGCCGCTCCACGCTCTTTCTCTCTCTCTCTCTCTCTCTTTGTGTGTGTGCCACATTTTTGTGTCATTTGGGGGGTTCCGTTCTGTGGTGCAGTCACTGGAACACACTGCTCTGCACTCTCCACTGTGGATCTGTGTCGTGTCTTTGAAGATTGCAAATTCCTGTGGCCCTGTGGTCAATAGATCTTTCGATCCGATTGAGCGGATTTCATTCTTTTTGTTGTTGTTGTTGCATGCATTTATGGATCCATAAGTGTGCTTCAATTAGAGGCCTTACAGTGGGGGCATTAACCGGTTCTCCCCTCCTCCCCCCTTCGCAACGCTGCAAGATCAGGGGTTCCTTCCACGCTCCTCCGAGGCATTTTTCTTTGAGACTGGCTGCAACCACAGAATTCGCACTTTAATAAAAATTTGTATTTATTTATCTAATAGACGTCGACAACGACGATGTTCACTCAAGAACCAGAGAGAGAGATGAGAGATCCCTTGGTCTCTGCCACTGTGAAATCCCTGCCACAAGTCCCATTCCTCCAGATCCGCCCAGAGTCGCGTCTGACATCAATCGCTTGACCATTGGAATGCAATATTTGTTTGTCTCTGGATGCTGGGGGGAGAGAGAACCTGGAACCTGTAGAATGGGGACAGGGACAGGGACAGACTCCTCTCCGCGAGAAATCTATCCTCTACGTTCTCCCCGTGTTTATTGTCGCTTTCGAGTGCATTAATCAAACAGCAAATGGTAGAGAAAAGGGGAGCTGCAGGGAGCTTCAATGAATGGAGAGGCAGAGAGAAGCGGAATGAATGCATTAGCATCCTCCTCCTCTCCTCCGCCTCCTGATCCTCTCATATGTTCAATTTTTCAAGTCGTTTGTTTGTTGTTCGACCCCCTCTCCGCACTCCCCAACAGATTTCATATTTTTTTTCAGCTTATTCTTCTCCCTCTCTCCTTCGCTCTTCCCTCTTTGGCTTCTTCCTCTCGTTAGCATCTCTTTTCAATAAATATTTTGTTTTTATGGTTTTTTAAATATTTTTCCAACGGTCGAGAGGCCAGGGCAGTGGCAGGGCAGGGCAGGGGGTGTCGGGCCCCGTCGTTTGCTTTGCTTTTTATGTGCTTGTGGAAATTCTTTGGAAAATGCATCGCTCTCTCGCAGATGCAGATGCAGTTGCAGTTGGAAGATGCAGTCAGCGAGCTGCACCTTCCTCTTCCTCTGTGTTCTGGGTTCTGTGTGGCGTGTACAATCTGCATTTTTGTTTTTGTTTGCATTTGTATTAGTGCTGGTGCTGGTGGCTGTTGTTGGTGTTGGCCATGTTTATGCTTTCCTGCTTTCCTGCTGTGTTTGCCTTTCCGATTGTTCTTTCTCCCCTGATCCTCCTCTGCCTCTTTCCCATTCCTCACTCTTTCGACTGTTATTTTCACACATTTCATTTCATTTATTATTAAAAATTGATGCCGCGATCGACACCGCTGCACTCAAACCTCAGACCCGTCCCCCTTCCCTTCTGAGCCGCTGCAGTCCGTCAAAGGCGAAGGCAGAGGCCAAAAACCATATATAAAAATCAAATATTGACAGCAGCGCAGGCAACAGATCCTCGCATTATGTTCTCTCTCTCTCTCTCTGTCTGTCTCTTTCCATCTCTTCTCCACCTTCAATTTGCCCCATGATCCATCCATCCCCATTGCAGATTCTTCCTTTTATATTTATAATTCCCTTGCATTTATTTGTACACTGCGGGCAGCGAGTGATATCTTTCTGTTCCAATATATTCTTAACACTTGGAAATATGTCTTCATTATATCCGACTACTTTTTATATTCACATCAAACGTAAATCATTTATAAATTCCCAGTTCATATAATTTTTTTGTAACATTAAAGTGATACGAAAACTTTACCCTAAGATTAAAAATCACTGAAATATTTTTGAATTTTCCTATTTTCTTCGAGTGTACTGCATACAAAACACTCCATGTGTGTATGTGTGTGTGTGAATTTATTTTCGATTTTATTTCTCATTCTTTTGATGCCACATAAAGCCACAGATAAAGCCGATAAGTGTCAGAGGAGAGTCTTTGGGTCTTTCCAGGGTCTTACGTTCCCTTCTTCATTCTCCGCTCTCCGTTCCAGAATATGTATCTGTATCTTCTGCTTTGGTTTTCTGGTGATTAATTGCACTTTTATTTGTGTGTCTGCGCGTCGTTCCCCCGTTCCCCCCATTACGTTTCCTTTGTTAAAAATCATTTTTTATTTCTGAATTCATTTTTTTGTTCTTCATATTTTATTGCCCAGCGCATTTAAATGTATCTGTGTCTGTGTGCCCCATGCATTTATAATGTATCTTTAGGTGCGTGTGTGTGTGTATGTGCATGCAGCATCATTAGAGGTTGTATATTATTATTTATTTCCTTCTTTATGCCAGAGGATCACAGGGATCGATCGGCGAGAGGTTCAGTGAACTTTTTGCCACATCTCCTGCTGGAGATCTGCTCCACACACGTCAGAGAGAGAGAGAGATCGAGGGACAGAGTGAGATTTTCTTGGTATCAAATGTGGAAGTACAAGAATCCCATGCAAAATATACATTACAATATCATTTGAAACGAATCATAAAAATAATCAAAAATCAATTGAAATAATCACAAAATATTCTGTACATTTTGTTAATTGATAAACGAAAACCGAAACCCAAATCCCGCACACTTTTTCCCTTGAAAACCAAGCATCAAAATTCCCTTTCGATTTCCATCGGACACAAAACTTTCCCAGCTATGCCATGGCCCCTGTTTTGCCACACATGCCACAGTCTCTGCTCTAAGCAACTCAATTAGCCAGAAGATGAGGGCGCAACCGAACGGAGGGACAAGTCCAGCGAGCGACGCGTCCCATGTCCAGATTCCCTTTTCTCACATTTCACGATTAGCGTGTGGTTCTCCAGCGGAGAAACAAAAAAAAACCAAAACAAAAAAAGTGCAACCGAAACAGAAAAAAACGCTGTAGACAAATTACCGCATTTTGCTCTCGCTGATAGGAAGTGGCATACAACAGCAGCAGCAAAAAGGTGCAACGAGCAACGGAATACCCTAGATGAATATTCTTCACGGAATGATAATTTCTATATGATAATGGATATAGTGATTCAGCCGTGGAAATACCATTGAAAACTCAAGGAGAATTTTGCTGTTTAAGCTGCAAAAAGAATCCAGAAAATTATCTGCTTAGAGTTTTCCAGATATATCTTTTTTTTGCTTCAAACTTCTCTACCAAATCCCATTAAACTCATCTCTGCTAAGGGGTATCCAAAACTGAAGCAGCAGCATTAAGTGGCAGCAGCACAAACGTGCCACATTCAAACTACTTCAGCAACAACAAAAAAACGGGGAAGAAAAAGGTATAGAAAAAGGCCAACAACAATCAAAGGGAAGAGACCAAGGGGCAGAAAAAGAAGAGCAAAGGGCACAAAGGCAACGAAAGCGAGAGAGAGTAAAGGAGAGAGAGAGAGCGGCAGGAGGCAGCAGCGGTAGCGGTAGCATAAATCTGTGTGGCATGATACAAAAATTACAAAAAAGAATATGCAACTCGAAAGAAAGGAATCTGCATCTACTGCAACATCTCTCTTGCCACACATTTGAGAGGCACGAATGTGTGGCAGAGAGAGAGAGAGAGAGAGAGAGAGAGAGAGAGAGAGACAGAAGAAGGGGAAGGAGGAAGCCAACAACAAGGCCACTTAACCCAATCGACAAAAGTCATTACACTCGTCACTTCACTCAGACACGAGACCCCTGCCCCTGCCCCTGCCCCTGCCACTGCCATTGCTCCTGCTCTTGCCGCACCTCCGGTTCATACTCTGCTTCAACACATCCGCTCATGTGTCAGAAGAGAAGGAGCGAAAAGGTAGGGGCATGCATGCCTCTCGGAATAAAAATAATATAAATAATACAAAATTTATTATGGAAGCCAAACAGCATGTGCCTCTGCCTGCAGATACAAAGATACATTTCCCAGAGGCCTGCACAAGATTGTGCTGCATCTGTTGCATCTATCTGGCGGGGCATTCAACATGCGATGCGTACCTACAATTTGTATACAAAATCTTCTTCTTCTCGTCTTTGGATTCCGAAAAGTAAATAAATAAAATAAAAATGAAGAAAAATTGAAGAAAATATATTTTACGAAACGGAAAAATAAACAAAAACCAAAAGAAGAAACCAAACAAAAAAAAAATCCAATCCCCAGCAGCGCGGATAAAAATAAAAGGCCAGCCCCAAAAGCCAGAAACAGAATAAATTGTATAATCCCCTTTGATGTATCGCCTTCTGTTTTATATTATTCAGTCATATTTTATGCCAATTCCACAGATACAAATACACCTAAAGATCCCCCCAGATGCA